GTGAGCTCTGCAGGGAGGTGGCCCAGGCCATGTCCGTGGGCCCGTCGGCCTGGCTCTGAGCTACGAACCGGTTCCCCCAGAGCCAGCTCTGACAGGTAGAGGGTCTGAAAGGCTCAGCTCACGTGTGCATCCCCTGGCCCAGCTCCTGAGGGGCCCTCCAAGGTTCTGGCTGCTTCCCCAGCCCCCCTGCCACACACACACACACACACTCGCCTCCCCACGCCGCCCTTCTTCCTGCTCAGCATTTCCTGGAGCTCTGGGTGTTGGGCACAGACCCGCGGCTGTCTCAGCATCTGCAGGAGGCCCAGGAGGCATCCGCACGGGCGTGAACTGCTGGCTTCCGCAGAACAGGACAGGGGCCTTTGTCCGAGAGGTGCCCAGCACCAGAGGGACACTCACAGTGCCCCCAGGCCCCCCAGACTCCTCTGCGGTGACATCACCAGTGCAAGGGGGAGAGGAGGGCCAGCAGGCACAGCCAGCCCCTCCCAGAGGTGGTGGACTCAGTGTGGCCCCTGGAGCCCATGGTAACATCTCTGAAACCACTCAGTCAGCCCCCGGCTTTTGCCCAGTGTTGGCTGATGCCCGCTGTGTGCTGGGCCCTCAGAGCCACTGGGGACACCGGCAGGGCCAGGACAGACGATGAGAGTGGTCCCCAGGCACTTGCATCCCCATGGGCCAGAGAGACATCCAGGGATGGCTCCGGGCATGACGAATAGAGGTGTTCGTTAACATAAATAACAAATGGGCACAAATTCGTGCTCGAACAGTTACGGGTCAGTGTCGATTGTTTCGCCGGGATGTTCGTGCAGGTGTCCATTGTTTTGATGTGCGTGTGTCCAGTGTTGAGCTCAGGGGGAGGTGGGTGATGACAGATGCCTGGCCCAGGGGTCGAGGTGGGCAGGCAGTGAGTGAGCGATTAGAGCAGCGGTTCTCAACCTGTGGGTCGCGACCCCTTTGGTGGGCAAACGACCCTTTCACAGGGGTCGCCTAAGACCATCCTGCATATCAGATATTTACATGACGATTCATAACAGTAGCAACATTACAGTTATGAAGTAACAATGAAAATAATTCTATGGTTGGGTCACAACATGAGGAACTGTATTTAAAGGGCCAGAAGGTTGAGAACCACTGGATTAGAGGAAGTTAGAGTGAATGCATGTGTGGAATGAATGATGGTGTGAGAGTGTGAGTGTGTGTGTCTCTGTGTCAGGGTGTATGTGACAGTTGTGTGTAACTATGTGTGGAGTGTGTCTAAGTAAGTCTGAGTGCCCATGAGTGTGTGTGTGTGTGTGTGTGTGTGTGTGTGTGTGTCAGTCTATGAAGGCATATGTGTGTCCGTGTGGGAGTGTGTGAGGTGTGCAGGGGTGTGAGTGACCAGACGTGGTGTGGGTGTAGATGTGTGAGTGGGGGCATGTTGTGTATGACAGTGCATGTGTGAGGGTCTGTATGCATGTGTTAGAGTGTTCTGGTTATGTGAGTGAGCGTGTGGGTATGAGTGAGCACGATGGGTGTGCCCATGTGTGTGTCCATGAGGGTGTATGCGTGTGTGTGTCTGGGGAAGGGTGAGTTTGTGTCCATGTGGATGTGCGGATGTGTGTGTGGTGGTGGGCGTAGGTGAGCACGTTTGTGGGTGTGAGTAGGTGCGATATGTGAGTGTATGTGAGAGTGTGCGTGTCTGTGCAGGTAGGTGTGTGGGTGGTGGTTTCGGGAGGGGGGTCTTCAAGGCGCCTGCTGGATGGAGAGTCCCAGGCCGGTCGGAGCCGGTGAGGGGTGGCTTGTCAGGCCTGGTGCACAGGGCGGTCCCCTG